AACCAGTGGTACCACACCAGAGAATCCACAGGATCATTTGAAAAGGTGTATTGAACTTAAATACAATTTTATATTTGGAAAATTTAAAAATTATAAACTTCAAAGTATAAATACTCTGTACACAAAAATCCTGGTGACATGCAATTTAACTGTATTACAAACCTGTACATGTACCCCTGAACCTAAAGTCAAACTTAAAAAAATGTAAAGCTCGTTGGAAAAATTGCCTGGCTGTTGAAGATACTTAGTTTTCAATCAGTAATTTGCCACTGTCAAGGGTAAGGTGCAGGAGAGGCAGTCTCAAGATTTTCCTGTTTATCTGAAGGGGAACTAGACTAAGCACAGTTTGAAAAACAATCTCGTAGCTTAAGCTTAAGTCTAGTTGTTGTTTTCTGGAAATAGCCTTCCCATGATGCAGAGTGGATGTTGGAATATGTGAAGAATATTTTTGAATTTTTACCTCCAATGGGTGAAGACCAGTGTCCCATTCTTTCATCTTTCCCTAAGGATTCTGGGTTGATTGCTCACGAAGGCTTCCTGGAAATTAGGGGTGATGTTTCAATTATTCATCTTCAGCTTGTTCCTTTAAATTTATTTCTCTTTCTTTTGCTCTTCCATACATCAACTATCTTTCAAAATCTAATTCAAGTTTTGCCTCCTGCAACGATATGTTTTAGATAGGCATTCTGCAGAATAAATTCAAACATTGACAAGATAATTTGATCTGATCAGTGGTTCTCAAACTTTATATCAGTGGGAAGGGGCTTTACATAATTTAAATGTCTGGTCCAGAAACCTGGAAATTCTGTAGTTTAATATGTTACTAGATTTAGTTAGCATATTGCAAGTGCATAACTGCATAGTTCTATGTGGTGGTTCTTAGTCCCTTTATTTATTTTACAAAACACCTAAGTAACTGTACTTAAACAAAATGAAACAAAGATCTCACACACTGAGCTAGATAATCCTAAGAAGTTTTTGACCTTCAAGTTTATGATTCTTCTATTTATAATGAGCAGCAGCGTCAGCTTTCTGAATTGGCAGTTGATAATCATGACTAGATGATAAAAAACAATGAGTAAATGTTGTAGATAACAGTTGGGGCTCAGATATTTTATAATTCTTCACAGAACACACAGTGTTGGACTCTCAGAACACCACTCAAGGGCTAATTCTTTAAAACCTAATCATTTAGAATATTCATACCCACATGACCAACCCCGTAGCCTAAAGGGATCTTAAACAGGTGTTGTTTTATAAATAATGTCTAAGATGATGTATGGTTGAGACTTTCCTCTCTCAATCTCCCACTAAAGGAGCCCCTAATAGATTATTTTAAAACTTTGTTTTCCCAGACTTAGAAAAAGAATTCCAGCAAATATTTGCTCTAGTTGAGAGGATTCCAACTTTTCCGTTGCCATGAATACATCCTAATGGCCCAGAATCTAGGCTGAAAATAATGTCCAGCCTAGGTGGTATTTATTAAAAAACATGTAAATCTCTTGGACAATACTATGGCACCCCCATTCCCATCCTTAATGCTCTGATTATACTCTCTGGACCTTTGCTATGTCATGGTGCTGAGACATAAAATGTAGACACTACATTTGGAATTAAACCAGAATATTCTTATATATTTGTTTTAGTCGGATATTGTTAATAATTGCATATGCTGCTTTAGTAGTGAAATAAAAATATTTTTATCTGTCTAAATTATTGATATCTAAGTGTTTTCCATATTGATTGCGTCCTCAGTGAAGGGGGGGACGCAATCCATCTAGATACAGCTTTGTGTATAGGAGACACTTTACTCACAGTATAATTTAAAAGTAGCATGATTACAGATTGGATAGAGATTCCAAAGTGTTACAATCATGATAATCACATGCTAATGGAAATTTTAAGATAAATATTGAAGAAAAAACTCAAGTTAACTTCATTATTTCTCAGAAGCTTTCTTTTTGGACTCAGCTATGTTCAGCAATATGTGTCTAAATATTTTCAATTATTTTAATAATAAATTATTCATAGGTGATTTAGCAATTGAGAGCATGTAAATATGTAATTTCAAGAAAATGCATCCAGTGGTGTGCAGTTCTCTGGAAGACAAACTATGAAAAATCCTTCTACATGGTGTAAATTTCACAGTAGCTTACATTCATATATATTCATCTAATTATGGTTCTAGGATTACTATACCTTTGACCTTTCTGTTTGTACAAGATAAATTTATATATAGAGAGAAAGAGAGTGAAAAAATATTCACAATGGAGAATAATAATTAATAAAGGGCATTCATTTATTGTCTTTAGGTGAGAGTCTGACTTTACTAAACCTGAGAGCCACAAGTAAATGTTAATGGAAAGGGATTTCTCAAGGTTCTTTGAATTTCATACATGCTTTAATTCCTAGCAGGTAGCCAGACTATATCAGCATTTAAAATACAAAACTAAGAGAGAATTTTACCTATTTCAACGTACTATAGTTTGTAAGTAAACTGTGGAGATAATTTTAACCTTTAAATTTGTTTATTGTTTCTCTGTGCTATGTATATTATAAGATGACTAAACGTGAATACAAAAAAATAGCTATATATTAATAACAAACCCCTATTTAAACCCCTATTTAGTATAATTTCTCTCTCCCCCACCTTCTCTTTGTGTGTTGGGGGTGTTACTCTTCAAGGAAGACAGATGAAATTAAATTTATCTACCAGAAAATAAACAAATGCTTTATATGTTGACTGTGAAGGAAGATGCTGAAAGTTTCCTTTTAACTCTTTCAATTTCATTTCCATTTTCAATTTAAATTGACTTTCAGTTCACCAAATATTTATTCAGCATTGGTGTCTTGTCTGGTTCTTTAATTATTTGCATAACAAAGTAATTGAAAAGCAAGATATAATTAAAACTTTCAGTAAATATAAAAATTTATCTAAAACATGGTTGATTATTTTTAGAAATACATTACATGGGGGATCCTAATGAGATCTTGATTTTTTTTCTGAATGGCATCAAGATGTATATGTTTCAGTTTCATTCTATAGGTTCTGTTTCAGCGTTTCAATTCAATTTCTTATTATAATTGAAGGAGTATCTTAGTAACCTTAAAGAAATCCACAATTAATTTGATATAATTTATCAATATGTATTTATATTTAAAGAGGACTATTGTCTAACATTTAGAGTTTATACTATAATATATACACAACTATTATATTTTCAAGTCTTTATTTATACAAGCAACCAGTCATAGCAATTTGCTAATTGTTCAATTATTTATTCTTTCAATCATTTATTTAACAAATGTTTAACTGCTTACCCATGTGCCAGACACTTGACTGAGCCATAGGACACCAATAATTTGAAAATAAAAAGAACTTGTCTCTGCATCAAGGATATCGTATTCTATAGACATGGGTAGCCACATAAATATAAAACAGTGTGACAAGTGCACACAATAATATTGTAAACATTCTAACATGAAGGGAGGCACCTAGCTGTTCTTACAATAAAGGATTTCTAAACCTGTTGTTTGCATCTTTTCCTAAGACTTGGATCCACTGAGGACCTCACTCAGAAGTTTTATTCTTGCTATCAGATTAGAATGACCATGCGTTTGTGCTCCTTTTCTCCACTGCCCCCAGCACCAGAAACCCTCAACTAGACCTCTAGTATCAAATCATAGAGATGCCATTAATTTATTTCTTCTGTATGTTTTATATGTATTACATATATGAAATTATTTTTAAAGCTAGTCCAAATTATTTTAAGTGTTTAGTTACTGCATATGTGTCAGGATGTAGATTCAGTGACATATCACAGATCCCCCCTTGGAAGTCCCCAAAGCAAAAACAAAAGGTAGTTGTTCACTTCTCATGTCTCTCTGCAGATTTGGGTATTTCAGGGATGGTATGCTGGATCTATAAGTTTCTGGGGTCTATGCTGTTTCCAGCTTTTTATTCTGCATCTTTAAGGAATGTCGTTTTGCATCATCTAAAAGGATGCTGTAGAGATAGCAGATACCCTCCCAGCAGCAGGATGGACACGTTTTAGATGTTGCACACATCATTTTACCTCACATCCCATTGGCAGGAACTTAGTCACATAGCTATTCCCTGGTGCACAGAAGGCTGGGAATTGAGTTCCTTTTATGGGAAATGTGACCAGCTGAAACATCTCAGAGTCTATTCCTGTAGAAGACATGGGATATGCACATTGAAGGACCACTGGTAGTCTCTGCCACAAGCATCTGACTAAACACTTCGGAAAAAAGCTCTGTAGAGTTTTAAACTTGTGTGTGTGTGTGTGTGTGTGTGCATGTGTGTATGCGGTGTGTGGTGTGTGCGTGTATTGTTATAAAGTAATGCATTGTAGCTTATTTGGAAAATATGAAGTGTGAAAGTGAAAATAAAACCTCCCATAATTACACCATGCAGCTATAATCACTGTTATCATTTTGTTTCTATTAATTACTTGTTAAAAATTAAAACAAATATTTTGGGTGATTTAAAAAGTAATACATGTCTATTGTAGAAAATAGAAAATATATAGAAAATTGTAAATAAATTATCACCCATTATCTCACCATAACATTTTATATCTATCCTTGATCTTACTGTACATGTTTTTTTAGTTTTTCCATTTAACCCTTTATTGTGGACATTTTTCTGTCATCAAGTATTTTTCCGTAACAATTTTTAACGGTGTCTGACTTTCTATTACAGTGGTGCTTATAATTTATTTACCAATACCTCGATTGCTTGGGTTTTAGAGTCATATAGTCATATATACCTGAATTTGAAACTGGCTGTCCGGCTTTTGAGCAATATGATTGGAATATACTGATGAATCTTCCTAAATTTTAGTTTCCTTACCTATAAAATGGGAATGATGATATTATCTACCCTGTAAAGGTACTCCTTGGAATTAAAATAGATAAAATGCACAAAGTACTTAATAAAGTGCCTGGCACCTAAGTCCCTAATAACCAGTCAGTCAATCAATCAATCAATCGTTTAATTAATTTTACCCCAGAAAGTGCTTGATTTCTGTAATTGTTTCAGCTAATATACATCTGATGCTTCCAGGTCTTATCCTGTCTCTTCAAGTGTGGTTAGACCTCTGCAGAAGTCCTGTGAAGTGTTTTAGGCCAGTGAGGTGGCCTTTAGGAACACAAAGGGCCAATTTATCAACCGGGAGCCTTGTGATCTGTGGAGACAGGAAACAGACATTTAAATGGGAACTTACAGGATAACATAAGAATATCTGCAGTTCTCTACAATTGTAGGCTAAGCGTGATCCGTGTTAGAGGAGGGAAGAAGGAGCTTTTAGTTCCTGAATGTGTGCTGGTCTGAGGCTGAGGAGTGTGGCCTGCCTCTCCCTGCTTGCTTCCTGGGATGGCTCTTCAGTGTCAGTACTGATGAGGCTGGGGCAGGGGAGGAGCAGCAGCAGTTTTAAAAGCAGACATCTCTTTGCTTTTTGATTTGTTAAGCAAATTCCAGGTGTCTTACTTGCTAATCACATTGTCATCTCTGATGCTTAATTATTTTCTGTAGGGAAATGAAGTTGTTTGGGGCTTTCAGGAAATCAAATTGAACTTCAAAAGCCACTTCCACATAACAATTAACATTTTGAAATGGATAATTCCTCAGGGTTTGTTGGTAGGTGAGCTTATTGAGTTTTTTCTTTAAGAGGTATTTTTAAAATAGTGGATTTATTTGTTCTTTTAATTATTGATCATATTTTTTAAAATTGGACACCATAAACATCCGTAAGTCCCTAGTAAAATGATATAAAAATGTGTGGCTATTGCCTTTGAGACAGACTAACGTTGTCATCTATGGAGCAGGAAATTGGAAGTGATTATCTTTTGGGCTCTATATCTGGGAGAAGGCTACATCATTGGAAGGAGTTACATCTTGGCCTGCTCAGAAAAAAAGGAAGTAGTTTTAATGTTAGTGCAGCAAACATGCCTAAAGGTGACTGTGTTAGTCTGTTCTCATGCTGCTAATAAAGACATACCCAAGACTGGGTAAGTTATAAAAGGAAGAGGTTTAACTGACTCACAGTTCCACATGGCTAGGGAGGCCTCACAATCATGGCGGAAGTTGAAGGAGGAGCAAAGCTACTGGCAGCAGACAAGAGGACATGTGCAGGGGAACTGCCCTTTATGAAATCATCAGATCTCATGAGACTTATTCACTATCATGAGAACTGCATGGGAAAAACATGCCACCATGATTCAATCACCTCCCACCAGGTCTCTCCCACAACATGTGGGGATTATGGGAGCTACAATTCAAGATGAGATTTGGTTGGGGACACAACCAAACCATATCAGTGACTTACATGTATGTAAGAAGGTGAAGTTCCATGTGGCTTGTGGGCATCATTCCCATCTTCTAATGGAGTCTATACAACCTCAGCACAAATGTTTTCAGTCCCATTTTAATAAGACAGAGATTCTAGAGACTCTAGGTATTGCTGCTCTGTGCCTTCCTAAACATGCCTCCTTTAGTCAGACGTGTTCTTAACACATTTAGGCTGCCTTTAAGTTCTGCATTTTCTGCTTTGCCTGCACACAGATATAATCATAGTGGAATCCTAAATCTTAATCACTCCACCTCCCCCTAAAAGGATGTGGGCGTAGAATTACTTAAATATTGCCATACGTTAGCCTTTGAGAGGCTTTTGTAAGTTATGAGAACTCAACCAGTTAGTTACTAATAACCTACTATTGCCAGAAGCAATAGTAGGATCTGATCTAGAAAAGGCATGGAAAATGTGGTCAGAAAGATTGGGATTCTAGGAGAAATTCCACCACTTACAAAGTGTGTAACCTTAGGCAAGTTACTCAACATTTGAATCTCACTTGTCTTATTTGAGAAATAAAGTCCTTGCATGTAGAAAACATCCAAAAACTTCCCTTTCTTTTTTGTTATCCTGAAAATCTGGATGTGGAAGAACTGTTGAACAATAGGTTAGCTCTATATTCTACAACAGCCTGTTTCTCAAATGCAGAGTTCTGTGTGTTTATTGACTACAGCGTCAGCTTCTGTGCAGCTGAGATACACATTCAGCCCTAGGCTTTTATCCACAGATCTGAGAGAAGGAAGGCAGGCAGGCACCTGTAATTATAGCAGCAGTGATGAATTGCAGCTGAACTGCGTAGTGTGTTAAGGCTTTTCTGTGCTGGTTGACTTGGGTATTAGTATAGTGATTCTGGGAGTAACAGACAGTATTTTACCAAGTGTTTGTCTTTCTATTATCCATTTAAACGTAATCCTAGACTCTCCACAGACATACAGGAGTTCCTTTGTTGCTTTCCAGCAGTGGATGAAAGCGTCCATTTTTATTAAGTGCTCAGTGCAGAGTTTAACAGCCCTTTTATGGACTGGTGCTAGATTACATATTGAGGGGTGGGGTGAAGATAGTTTTTCTATTGACATTTGTAAAACGTTAGATTTGGGTTTCCTTTCCATGCACCAGAATATTACTCTACAGATGTCAAAGACTCTAAATGTTGCAAACGATTGTCTTTTGTTTCTTCATTTTCCTTTTTCCACGTTGCTTGGTCACAAAAGGCATCTGTCCACCTGATCTTCCCAAGGGAGTCTGGTGGGGGTGGTTGGGGCTTTCTGTGAGGGGGAGAGTTGGGCAGGGGAAGGAAGGTGGGAGAGGAGACCACTTTGCTCTTTCTGCAAACCCCTTTTATCAATTACTCTATTTGTTCCTTTTCCCCTAAACTCTCCTAAAAGAAGGGTCAATTCTCTCAACATCAATTGAATGAAAAATAGCAATTTGAACAGCATCTGCAAAGTGACATGTATAAAATCCAAAACAAAATGAGTCCTCAAACTCATGTAATTTTCCATTTTGTCTCATTTATTTGAAAGCCCAGTAGCAGGGTCACTATGACATGGCCAGAGGATTTAAAGCCTTTATCAGAATTTATTGAGTATGCTGTTAATATTTTTAATATAATGCCCACATGACTTTTCTGGCCTTTTAAGAGTAGAGGTGTATCTTAACTATGCCAAAATAGGAAAGAAGAAGGACTCTTACACATCCTTCACTAATCTTCTTCTTACTTGCCCTTGTCTGACTCATTCTTTCTCCAGGGTAGACTGCTATGATGCCTTTTTGTTTTTCTTTTTTCTCAACTGAGGCACCAGCAGATTTTATTCAGTTTTCTTACTTTTCTTGTCACATGATCTATTCTCCCCATGGATGTAGGAAGCTATTCCTGACACCTTTTACCTTTCCAGACCCATTTAGAGTTCTTTCTACTTACAACCACCCTTTTCTCAGTGTAGCTCTTTCTTTGTGTAGCCAGTAGCTTCATTCAATAATTAAAAGCTCATTCAGTCCTGTACAAAGAGGATAGGGAGGGGTGGAGGTATCTGGGCCTTTTGGGAACATACAAAGGTGACTGAGGTCCTGAGAGATTCTCTACAGCTACAATATTTTGTAAACCACATATTAACACACAGTTCTGACATGTGAGGGTGGATTTAGAGGGACAGAGGAATAGTGTGGCTGAAACTGAGACTGTCTCACTACACAAGTAAATAATAGTTGTATAGTGCTTTGCATTTTATATGCATTTACACACACGGTATTTATTAGTCCCTATTGTAAGCCTAGAAAGTGGGTGCCATTAATTCCCTTTCACAGAGGAAGAAACAGGCTGAGAGAGGTTAAGTAATTCGTGCCAAATGTCCTAAATATTGAGGAATTTGAAGTTGCTTTAGGCTTCTGACACTGCCTTATGTTCCTTTCACTTCAAAAACTTGAATGTAGTTGAATTTCACTACTGTTTAATTGGGATGTGAGATTCTCCAATCACACTGTCAGAACCAAAGCAGGTGTTGCATGCTGTAGCAAAAACGTTTTCCTTGGCGGGATGAGACATTGCTCTTCTGAGACAACCCTCAAGCAGCCTTCCCTAATTCTGGTTCACTTCATCCCCAAATAAAACACAAAAGAATATGCTGTATTCTAACCTCTAGAGTGTAGCCCAATGTGAAGATAATAATAACGGTGAAATTAATAATGATGATGGTTACTCTTTGTTGAATATCTGTCACATGGCAGGTACAATGCAAGTGTTTTTCAAACATTATATTATCCAATCCTCAGAGCAAGTTCATCACCCTCATTTTAGAGGTCAGAAAACTGAGGATACAGAAAGATAGGTTATTTGTCTGGGGCTTCCCACCTAGGAAATTTTGGAGTAAGAATTCAAACGTAGGTCAGTCTGGCTCCTGAGCCCATGCTATCTAGTTTTCCATGTGCACTTTTGCTTACTTTTGAATAGGAGTACGCTCAAGAAAGAATATAAATGCCTACATTATATTTAACCATTCATTCATAAATATTAACTCATAAACTTATGAAGTTGAACCACACGAAATTGCTAATATTTGGGCATTTTGGACCAAGAAAAATGGTCATTTCATGTGGCTTCACACAAAAGTTCTTAAAATGTGGCCTCTGGACCAGCATCATCAGTACCACCGGGGAAGTTGTTAGGCATGCAGATTCTCAGATGCCATCCCAGATCTCATAAAAAAGAAGCTAGGAGTTGGCTCAGCAATCTGTGGCTTAACAGGACCTTTCGGTGAATCTCATACCCACCAAAGCTTGAGAACCCCTAGTTATCCTAATATATTTGTCAAACAGCATCTCTGTGTCAGGTGCTATGTTAGCCACTGGGTTTTCAGGAAGAGCAGAAATGGACATGCTTCTTACCCTCAGAGAGCTTACGCTTTACTGGCAAAGTTCCACGATGTGCAAATATGAAGTTTTTTTTAAGAGGTATTTATATTGTATTAGAGTTTCTAGGTCTCTGCCAAAAGAATGAAATGTTGAGAGGCACAATTAGAGGGGAAAAAGGGTTAACGTTTCATCACAGAGTTGGATACCAACCAAGGGAGACACACTGATCCAGGGACTGGCGTGTAGGAAAAGACATGGGGCCAGTGCTCAGGACTCAGTGTTTAGGACACAGCGCCATCAAATCCTACATCTTGGACTCCTTTTCTTCCCCTTCTCTCGTCTTATCTCCAAGGATGGCTCTGTTCACTTTGAGGCCACGTTTGGATGGGAAGAGTACACTAAGTCCACTTCTCAGCATGGGACAACTCAGGATGTCTAAGGTAGGGCTTGGTCAGCCTCCACTGGCTGGCCAAGTAGATACTGATCTG